GCCACTTCCATATCTTGGTGATGGTAAATAACACTGCAATGAACACAGGGGTGCTTATGTTCTTTTGAATTAGTGTTTTGGGTTCCTTTGGATATATTCCCAGAAGTGGGATTGCTGGACGAAAAGGCAGGTCCATTTTTAATTTTTTGAGGTATCTCCATACTGCTTCCCATAGTGGCTGAACCAGTCTGCATTCCCACCAACAGTGCAAAAGGGTTTTCCTTTTTCTACACCTTCACCAGCACTTGTTGTTTGTTGATTTATTGATGACAGCTGTTCTGACTGGTGTGAGATGATATTTCATTGTGGTTTTAATTTGCATTTCTCTGATGGTTAGTGACATTGAGCATCTTTTTGTATGTCTATTGACCATCTGTATGTCTATATCTTCTATAAAAGAACAGTCTCTGGAAGGATAAATCAAATTGGTTCATGAAGGTGTATAACTATTTTGTATTCATTTATAGGGAAACTCCTTTTCCTTGCCTGTCTGAAATGTTTTCCTTACTCTAAACTGATAAGTATTTTTATAAATAAGCATTTATTTCACCCTGATGGTTTTGACACTTGGATTTTCAAGGAAAATATCTATATATCCATATGCACTTCCAAAGTATTTCTGTAGACCTTTGTAATTACTTTAAAAATCCTGTTCATGATTGAGCAAAAAGGAAAAAGGACTCATGGACAACAATGTAGTGATTGCTGTGGGGAGGGGAGCATCAGGAGACTAAATGGTAATGGAAAAAATACAATAAAGATTAAATAAAAAATCCTCTTTGCATGTATTTCATCTGTAAGTATTATTGTAGTTATTCACTGTGGCAAATGTAGAGGTCCTTATATCCAGCTCAAAAACTGAATGTTCCATAATTTCACTATTCTATCTTATATATACCAGGAGCTCCTTTAGCTCTGTTCAGAGAGCATTAAAAAACTGTGGTCAAGAACTTATGCTGAATTTTAAAATAGCATACAGTAAATAATGACAAATGTTGATATAAACATATTATAAGATCTTTATTTCTAAGAAAAATAATATTAAACAAATATTAAAAATTTTGTTAGCTAAATAACATTTCAGGAAATGGATCTATTGCATTGATAATTACCATATTATTTGAATTGCAAAAAACTCTTCAATTTAATGAGTACAGTCCTTTTCACTTAAGTGTCCTATAAAATCCTAAAGGTTTTTAAGATGAATTCTGTTTAGAATTTTGTTTAGAAAATACTTCTCGGGGCATAACGGCCAAATTATATATCCTTGTAAAGGCTGATTTTTCTTTAAAAAGTTAACCCTTTAAAAACTAAATCTTAGAGACTTAAAAGCATTGTTATTCTTTTTTAAAAAATTTCTTTATTGCTGTTCAATTACAGTTGTCTGCATTTTCTCCCCACCACTCCCCCTAACCCCAGCCAAACCCACCTCCCTCCCTTGCTTCCACCCTCCCCCTTGGTTTTGTCCATGTGTCCTTTATAGTAGTTCCTGAAAACCCTTCTCCCTACTGTCCCCTCCCCCTCCGCTCTGGCTGTTGTCAGATTGTTCTTAATTTCAATGTCTCTGGTTATATTTTGTTTGTTTTTTCTTTTGTTGATTATGTTCCAGTTAAAGGTGAGATCATATGGTATTTGTCCCTCACTGCCTGGCTTATTTCACTTAGCATAATGCCTCCAGTTCCATTCATGCTGTTGCATTAAAATGAAAAGAGAACCAACTATTTGGGAAAACATATTTGCCAATGATACCTCAGACAAGGGTTTGTTTGATCTCCAAAATATATAAAGAACTCACACTATTCCACTCCAGGAAGACAAAAAAACCAGTTAAAAAATGGGCAAAAGACTTGAATAGACACTTCTCCAAGGAGGACATACAGAGGGCCCAGAGACATATGAAAAGATGCTCAGCATCACTAGCCATCAGAGAGATGCAAATTAAATCCACAATGAGATACCACCTCATACTGGCCAGAATGGCCAACATAAGCAAATCAACAAACAAGTGTTGGAGAGGATGCAGAGAAAAGGGAACCCTAGTGCACTGTTGGTGGGAATGCAGACTGGTGCAGCCACTTTGGAAAACAGTATGGAATTTCCTCAGAAAACTGAAAATGGAACTGCCTTGTGACCCAGCAATTCCACTGCTGGGATTATACCTTAAGAGCCCTGAAACACCAATCCTAAAGAACCTATGCACCCCAGTGTTCATAGCAGCACAATTTACAATAGCCAAGTGCTGGAAGCAACCTAAGTGCCCATTAGCAAATGAGTGGATCAAAAAACATGGTACATTTACCCAATGGAATTCTATGCAGCAGAGAGAAAGAAGGGCACTGTTATTCTTATTTAACTTTACTGATGAGTGGAAATCTTTTAAATAAGAATACTGCAAGTGAGCCCTGGCCAGTGAAGTTTGTTTGGGCATCATCCCACAGACTGAAAGGTCACAGGTTTGATTCCTGGTTAGGGCAGATGCCTAGGTTACAGGTTCCGTCTCCAGTTAGGGTGCATATCAGAGGCAACCTATCAATGTTTCTTTCTCATCTCACATTGAAGTTTCTCTCTCTCTCTCCCTCTCTTCCCCCTCTCTAAAATCAATAAGCATGTCCTCAGGTGAGGATTAAAAAAAAATATTACCAGTTGGCCTTTACATCTGTCTCTGCCATTAGCCAACTAAAAGTTGCATGCTTGTTACATTACATCTCAGAGACATATATCCATAAAAAAAACTCCATGAGTAAGACTAAAGGTTACCTTTAACATAGATAAACTTTCATTGGTGTAATATCTTAGTTTTAATTCTGTTTTTCCCCAATAAATTTTAAAAAAACGTATTGAGTCATAATTGACATACAATAAATAGCACATATTTAGAGGATGCAATTTTGAAAGTATTAACATATGTATATACCTGTGAAATCATTACCTACCACAACCAATATAGTGAACATTTCAGCCCTTCTGGTGCAGCTCAGTGGATTAAATGCCAGCCTGTGAACTGAAAGTTCATAGGTTCGATTCCCAGTCAGGGCACATGCCTGGGTTGCAGGCCAGGTCTCCAGTTGGAGGCATGCGAGAGGCAACTGATTGATGTTTCTCTCCCTCTGTACCTCCCTCCTTTCCTCTCTCTCTGAAAATAAATACAATTTAAAAATATATAATGAACATTTCTATCACACTCCAAACTTTTCTCATCTCTTTCTTTATCTCTCACTGCCATCCATGACCCACATCCCTCTTTTCCAGGTAGCCACTGATTTGCTTTTTGTCACTCTAGATTAGTTGGCTTTTTTTCCTAGAGTTTTATATAAATGGAATCACACAGTATGTTCTCATGTTTTTTTGGCCTGGCATCTTTTACTCTGCATAATTATTTTGAGATTCATCTTTGAGTGTGTGTATGAATAGTTTATTTTCTTATTGCTGAGTTGTAGTTCATTTTATAAATATGTCACAGTCTGTTTATCCATCTACCTAATGATGGACTTTTGGATTGCTATCCAGTTTTTGTCTAACAAACAAAATTGCAGTTTTTAGCTATTATGAATAAAGCTGCTATAAACATTGTGATTTTAAAATTATTTTATTTTCAATTTTTACCCTTTACTGGCAATCATAGCTGTCAACTCTTCTCACATAGCAGTGCTTTTCTTTCCCAGCAACTTGGTAATTATGGAAGATATAAAAATATGTAACTTTAAACTTCTTTTAATTATTCAAGTTACTGCTAATAAGAAAGAAAAGATCTCATTTTGAATTTGAAATCCTTACAGCCTGGTCAGCATTATTACCTTTTATAATATCCCTAAGTAAAAATTTTCAGTGTAACTGCTTTAAAGCCTCTAGTCCTTAATTAACCAGAGCTTATGCAAATACTTTCCTCACTATAATGATGTTATGATGAATATTTTTCTAAAGAGAATAAATGTTTCCTAATGACCATATTTTATTTCCATAAGTAAATGTGGCAGTTAAAGTCTTTCTTAGTTATCAAATTTTCTCTAAACAAAGGAATGCATAAGGATCCCATAATACAATACTTTAAGAAAAATATGAGACACATAAGCAAATTTGTGTTTTTTATTATTCAGAAAACTTTTTATAGTTCCTATTTTTATAAATACTTTTATTTTAAAAATCTCATTACTTTATAGAGTTAACCTTTAAATGGAATGTTTTGCATGTAATAAAATTTCAACCTCTTGAAAAAATATTCCATCTCCATTTTAAAGGAAAAATATGCAAAGCTTAAAATTTGTTGCTTCTTTCCACTTATTTGCTCTTGGCAATATATGTGTATATGTATGTGTTTATATGTGTATGAACATAGACTGTGACATATACATATATGTAAAACATCACCGTAAGGCAATAAAATACTGTTTATGATATATAATTGCATTAAACTTATAGCCTTTAAGAATAGAGTTTTGATTTTTAGATAATTTCTTTTAAAGCAAATTGGCCTCAATGTCTTTCACCTTATTGTGAAATATATAATTTTGATGCAAATACACACAATTCTATCTATTGATGGGTTTTCTTAAAAGCCTAATATAAAAAGGCTAATCTTATTACACACTTTTAATTGTATACTGAGAAGTTTTATTGCATGTTGAGAAAAAGAGACTATGATTCTTTTTCCAGTAAAATTTTCATATTCAAATATTAAGTACTTTAAAATATATCATTGTGATGGGTTATTACTTATGATCATTTGTGATATATTTCAAATTATTTTATTGCTTTTAATTATCATTTAAAGCTAATTTGGTTGAATGACCTTTGATTTTTCTGTGATTGTTAATGTTTTTTCTTATTAAGAATATAATGAATTTTCTGTAATACCAGAATAGAAATCGGTTTTAGTTATTTTTTTCCTCTTATGCTCCTTTGTTTTTTTTTATCAGTAGAAAGTTTTATTTGCCAGGTTAAAATATAAGCTAACATTATGATTTAGACTGAGTAAAAAGCTAATACTAATTTTTTCCTTTCAGATCTCTATAAAAATGGACTCCAAAGAGCTAACTTTGTACCATTCATAGCTGTCCTGAAGGTGAGGCAAATCACTTGTGTTCGCTGACTGATGTCGTATTGATTGATAATTGAGGGCTTTTATGAGATTACTGTGGTATAGCATTCAAGCAAAATTTTTAGATGTTTTGGGTAGTAGTAGTCAAACACACTAAAAGAGAAAATAATCTTTTCTATATAGTGTTCATTAATGTGTACACAGCAAAAACTACAAAATACAGACTAAATTGTTATCCAACTGAAACATTTGATAGTTTGCATTTTATAAATTTTTATTTGAAGCCTGTTCATAAATATTATAGTGGAATATTTAGACTTATACATTGATTTCTGAAAAAATGGTTAATATTCCTGTTTTCTTCAGGTTAATGGACATTAACATGTTTTCCTAACTATTAAAGTTGTTATTCTAAAGTAACATTATTACAGAAATATTCTAATATTACTTAAATGTAATTGCCATCAAGTTATCATGAAATTATGTCAAGTTGAGGCACATAAATAGTTTAAATATTTGTGTATATCATCACTGCAGATTTGAAAATAGCCTTCATTACAGTATGATTAAGAATAAATAGCCTCCCTTTTCACTGTTAATTTAAGTATTTTTACATGATTATTTCACATTTCCACATTTTACTTTATTTTTTAATTGAATTATTGGGGTGACATTGGTTAATAAAGTTATATAGGTTTCAGATGTACAGTACTATAATAAATCCTCTGTATGTAATATTATGTGTTCACTACTCTACTTGAAAGAGTCAAGTCCCCTTTCATCGCCATTTATTCCCCCTTTACCCTCTTCTCCTCCCCTCAGCCACAACTTTTTCCCTCTGGTAATCACCATACCATTGTTACTGAGTTTTTTGGTTTTTTTAGAGAGAAGGGAAAGGAAGAAGAAAGGGAGGGAGAGAAACATGGATTGGTTGCCTCTCAGACGCCCCCAGTTTGGGACTGGGCCTGCAACCCAGGCTTATGCCCTGACTGGGAATTGAACTATCAATCTTTTGGTCTGCAGGCCGGCCCTCAGTCCATCTAGCCACACCAGTCAGGGCTATGAGTTGTTTTTTCTTAATCCCTTCACATTTTTCACCCAGCACCCCCAATCCCCTTCCTTCTGACAGTTGTAAGTTTGTTTCTTTTTTTTATCTGTGAATCTATTTCTGTTTTGTTTATTTTATTCATTAGATTCCACATATAAGTGAAATTGTATGGTATTGGTCTGTCTCTGACTGGCTTATTTTCCCATCAATAGTGCAGTAGGGTTCCCTTTTCTCCACATCCTTGCCAACTATTGTTGTTTGTTGGTTTATTGATAATAGTCATTCTGACAGGTGTGAGGTGATATTTCATTGTGGTTTTAATTTGCATTTCTCTGATGATTAGTGACATTGAGCATCTTTTCTTTTGTCTCTTGGTCATCTATATGTCCTCTGTGGATAAGTGTCTATTCAGATCCTGTGCTCATTTTTAAAAAGTATTTTATGTATTTATTTTTAGAGAGAGGGGAAGGAGGGAGAGAGGGCAAGAAACATATATGTGTGAGAGAAGCATTGATGGGTTGTCTCTTGCACACCCCCAACCAGGGACCGGGCCACAACCCAAGCATCTGCCCTGACTGGAAATTGAGCCAGGGGCCTTTTGCTTTGTGGGATGTCACCCAACCAACTGAGCCACACCAGTCCTCTGCCCATTTTTTAAATTGGGTTGTTTGGTTTTTTTGGTGTTGAGTTATGTAAGTTCTTTATACATTTTGGATATTAACATCTTATTAGATGTATCATTGGTGAATATGTTTTCCCATTCAGTAGGTTGTCTTTTCATTTTGCTGATGTTTTTTTTTTTTTGCTGTGCAAAAACATTTTAGTTTGATGTAGTCTCATTTGTTTATGTTTTCTTTTGTTTCCCTTGCCTAAGGAGGTATATCAGAAAAAAATATTGCTACGAGAAATGTCCATTGTTTTCTTCTAGGGTTTTTATGGTTTCAAGTCTAGCATTTAAATTTTTAATCCATTTTGAGTATATTCTTGTGTATGGTATAAGAAGGTGGTCTAGTTTTATTTTTTCTCATGTATCTGTCCAATATTCCCAACACTATTTGTTGAATAGACTTTATCTTTACCCAAAATATTGGAAGTTATTTATTAAAAAATTGTTTATTTATTTTTACATGTTTAAACTTCAGACACCTTCAAAGTACTCTCCATTATGCAATACAGCTAATAGAGACTTTTTTCCCACTGATCAGAACAGTTTGTGAACTTGTCAATTTTGATGGCTTTTAGTGCTTCTGCTGTTTTTTGTTTCATCTCTTTCACATCAGCAAAATGTTTCCCTTTGAGGGCTTTTTTCATTGGGGAAAACAAAAAAAGAGTTGCTTGGGTCTGATCTGGTGAATAGGAAGGGTGGGGCACAGGGGTCAGGCCGTTTTTGCTCACAAACTGCTCAGCACTCAGCGCGGTGTGGGCAGGTGCGCTCATAAATCACCCATCATGAAATGGGCAAATGTATTGACAGAGTCTTCAAAAAATTCACCAAAACCAAACACAGCCTCTCACAGCAATGCCAGCTGGTACACTGATACAGATGGGTTCCTAGAACACTCACCTGGCTGAAGAAGCCTGTACTAAAAAGGGCCTGCCCTCCAGAAGATAATTCCAGGTATTTTTGGGTCCCACATCCTTTATTCTTGCCTCCTCTGTCAAGTGTTAATTGACCATAGCATGGGGTTATTTCCAGGTTTTCCATTCTGTTACATTGATCTATATGTCTATTTTTATGCCAGTATCATTCTATTTGATTACTATGGCCTTATAATATAGTTTGATATCCAGTAGTGTGATTCCTCCAACTTTGTTCTTCTTTCTCAAAATTGCTGTGGTTATTTGGTGTCTTTTGTGGTTCTATATAAATTTTTGGAATACTTGTTCTAGTTTTATGAAATACACCATTGGTATCTTGATAAGAATTGCATTGAATCTATAGATTGCTTTGGGTACTATGGACATTTTAATGAGGTTAATTCTTCCTATCCATGATCATGGTGTTTGCTTGTACTTATTTGTATCTTTTTCAGTTTCTTTTTTCAGTGTCATAATTTTTTGAGTACAGGTCTTTCACACCCTTGGTTAAATTTATTCCTAGGTATTTTATTTTTTAATGCAACTGTGTTTATTGACAACCTACTATGTGCAAAGTGCAATGTAAGGCATAATGGATAATATAATAATGAAGTAGACTATATTATTTTGTTTGTAAGTCATTTAAAATATAGTTGGGCATCCAATATGCACACAAATACCTGTAACAGAAAGCAAAATGTAATAATTACCAAAAAGAAGCATAATTATACAATTATGTACCAGAATATAATTCCCATAATTCTTAGGTACATAATTTTTCCCAGTTCATAATAGCATATGAACAAAGGATAATGTTGTATTTTTTTAAAGACTAAAACTTTAAATATTCTTACTAAGATGGAGAAGTAAAAACATTTTATCTTCAAATATTTCAAAGATATAGTCAATTTTTCTGAAATACACTCTAATTGCAATTGTTGGTGCCAAACTTTATTCCCTGTGCTATACTTACAGGATTCAAACATCTGTTTCCTTGACCAATTTTAGGTTCCCAGCGGATTTTAATTTCTCTGAGGTATTTATAGATGTAGGGAAAAGTACTTTTTAGAAATTGTGCTGTTAGCTATTTTTTCCATTGTACGTATGCTCTGTGTATGGGAGAAGGTGGACTTGCAGCGTTTCCTCCACTCCGGGGATCCAGAGCAGTATGGTGTTTACAGATACCAATCTATAAACAATGAAACTAAGAAGAATAGGTACTAAATATAGTATCTTCATATAGCATAAAATACACGAAATATAAAGAGAGGATGTTCACAGAATGAAAGAAGTTAAAAGGTTCTCAGGGAACTTAGTAGCTGTATGACTTTTTAAATTTTTTTGGCCAGTAATTTGTCATACTTTAATACATAATAGCATTATTAATGGGCAATTAAATTAACCAGATTGAATTTAACTTTTTCCCATTACACCCTTAATGTTTTTTTTTTTTAAGAAGGAAAACCAAATAGACGAATAATTCAAATTTGGAATCAAACAAGAACTGAGATAAGTAATGCACAATTTGAAATTGAACATGAACTGAAATCTCATGATTGGAATTTCATGAAAATACCATATTGGGTGGGAAAAGATATAAAACATATAATTTATTCAAAAGACTTCTCACATGTAACAAAACAGCAGTCTGATGAAGTGTACAGTAGAGCTGGCTTTCCTGGAGGTTTTTTGGTGGGTGTATGAAGTTTCTATTGTAAAGAAAGGTTGTATCATGTCAATTTAAATGATATTTTGCCTAGTCACATATGTAGTGTTACTCTATAATTTTGGCCCATGTGAGAGAAATGTATAGCAGAAGTCAATCTTAAAACAAATGGAGAATATTAATTTAATAAAAAGATATTATAAACAAGATAGAAGTTTTTGGGGGAACAATACAATGTAAAATCCATTTCTTATTTACATTCTATATTTTATTTTATTTTATTTTATTTTTATTTTTATTTATTTTATTTTTTAAAGATTTTATTTATTTATTTTTAGAGGGAGGGTTAGGGCAGGAGAAAGAGAGGGAGAGAAACATCAATGTGTGGTTGCCTCTCGTGCTCCCCCTACTGGGGACCTGGCCCGCAACCCAGACATGTGCCCTGACTGGGAAATTGAACAGGCAACCCTTTGGTTAGCAGGCCTGTGCTTAATCCACTGACTGAGCTACACCAACCTGGGCCTACATTCTTCTATATAAACCAAGTGATAACACGTTTGTTATTCACTACAAGAACTTGTGATTTGTTGTTCGTAGTATTAAAAAATAACAAAAACATATAATCTATTAGTAAACAGTATTTTCATAAGAGAGTTGGAATGATGAGAGTAGCACACTCATTATGCTAGTTAGAAGCCCTAAGTCCATCAACAGATTAATAAAAAATGTGAT